TTATTGTTAATGTATCAATGACAAATTTTATATAAAGTATATCCTATTGCATACCATTTAACCCAATATTTAAGTCGTAGCTATCACTACTAATAAATTATACATAATTTTTATTTGTTTAGTTAAAAACGTTAATTACATATTTGTAATTAAACAGTTAAGTCTTAACTATCGCTACTAATAAATTATACATAATACATACGTTCGATGCCAAAGTAGAAAAAAATGTTTACCAATACTTTTATCTTTGGAAATATAGAAATATGTTTACTCTATAGATAATGTAAAAATGATGTTTACTTTTATGAAAAGGTAAGTAAGTTCTTATATATTTTGAAAAATATAAAATAAATTACATAAATCGTCCCTCGGTTAGGTACCAAAAAGTGTGTTAGTCCCTATTTTCAAAAATTAACTCAGACCGTCCCTATGTTTCAATTTCCTTGCACGGTTAGTCCTTATCGTCGTCAGCCGTTAGTGGTTTCCGTTTAAATGCCCCAAAAGCTCGTTTATTCCCTCATTTCATTTAAATTTATCATTTTAGTCCATCGTTTCATTTTAAAAGACTATATTGCCATTTTTATTTTATTTTTTCACTTATTTATAATTTATCAATTAAATTATATTAATTATAAATATTAAAAACTTATATCATCTCTCTCTCTCTCTCATCTCTCTCAATTCGGGCAACTGTTTCCTATCATCGTCGACAACCATTTCCTTTCACCATCAGCACATTCACCAACCACCGTCCGTCAACACCAAATTTGATACTATAACCAAAATCCAAAACTCAAACCCAAATCTGATACTAGAACTTATAATTAACACCAAATACTAATCTAAAACCTTTAATCAGCACTGATTTTCAAGATGAAATCCCAAAACCTATAATCAATCAATGAAATCCCTGCATCGATGCAAAATCCAGAGGGACTGAGATGTAGAATAGAAACCCTAGATTTGTGTCATGTCTTCTTTCTCAGCTCTTGCAACCACCGCTTATCACCACCGGATAAGAGAGAAGAGTTGTCGAAATTTAGATTCGCGAATGGAATATAGATTTGAAATCTAGATGTAAAAGGGTTGTTGATGGCATGCCCTATATTACATATTTAAACAGATAAGATAGGAGAGGACGACAACAAAGGAGTTTGATGTCGCCAATGATACGAGGTGGTTTCCCAAATTGAGAAAGTGGACATGGAATATATATATATATATATATATATATATATATATATATATATATATATAAGTTTTTAAAATTTATAATTAATCTAATTTAGGGTACGCCAACAGCAACTCCCTTCGATGTCATCCTCTTTTGTTTTCTAGGTTTCAATATGTGATTTAGGGCATGTATCAACAACCCTTTTACATCTAGATTTCAGATCTATACTCCATTCGCATATCTAAATTTCGACAACTCTTCTCTCTTCTCCGGTGGTTATAATAGGTGGTTGCAAAAGCTGAGAAAGAAGATAGGACACAAATATATGGCTTCGATTCTACATCCCAGCCCCTCTGGATTTTGCATCGATGTAGGGATTTCATGATTGATTTTAGGTTTCGGGATTTCATCTCGAAAATCAGTGTTGATTAAAGGTTTTAGATTGGGATCTTGTGTTGGTTATTGGTTCTAGTTTTTGGTTCTAGTATCAAATTTAGGTTTGAGTTTTAGATTTTGGTTATAGTATCAAATTTGGTGTTGAAAGGTGGTGGTTGGTGAAGGTGTCTACGGTGGTGAAAGGAGATGGTTGTCGATGATGATAGGAGATAGTTGCCCGAATTGAGAAAGAGGACAGTGAATAAAGAGAAAATGAGAGAGAGAGATGAAAACGATATAAGTTTTTAAAATTTATAATTAATCTAATTTAATTGATAGGTTATAAATAAGTGCAAAAAAATATAAAAAAATGGCAATATAGTATTTTAAAAAGAAACGAGGGACTAAAATGATAAATTTAAAAGAAACGAGGGACTGAACATGCTTTTGGGGCACTTAAATGGAAACAACCAACGACTAACGGCGATATGGACTAACCATGCAAGGAAATGGAAGCACAAGGACGGTCCGAGTTAATTTTTAAAAATAGGGACTAAACGTGCTTTTTGGTACCTAACGGAGGGACGATTTGTGTCATTTACTCAAAAATTTAATATACCCAACTATAGTAGCGATCTTTCTTTTTTTGAAAATAAATCAAACCTCTGCTATGTGTGGACAAATCTATTGATTTGTCTAACGGGAAGAACAAATCTGATCGTGGTGATAGAGTATTTAGGAGAAGTAATTACATTCATTCATCAATTCATATGTACAATTTTTTTCAACTTATAAGTTTATTTTTATAGTGTATATTTTCATAATGGTGACCGATCAACTACCAAATTTCAAAGGAGAAAACGAGGAGAACCATATTGTAGCATGTATAATGAAGTCACAAGCACTTCATTCAATCAAAAGTTAAAAATTATGGTTACAACATGTGACACTCGATTTCATCACACTCACAATGGATGTCAAAAACAAAAACAATTACAAGAATCGACCTTTATTGTAGTAAACTTTTTACAGTTTAATCAATAAGTAATATGCGATACACGATAGGTGAATGTGACTTGATATTGGAACAAATTAAGTCAAAACATTACATACGAGAAGATAGTTGCTTTTTGTGATATAATATAACACCCGTTTTCCATAATGGATCAGTCAGTGACCTAAAGGAAACAAGTGTATGGTTTTTGAGGAAAACCATATGCCACGACGTGGTGCATGGAATGCCACAACTTGGCATTGCTTGTTTTGTGCACGTATTCTGATGGACACCACAGTGTGGCAAGCAGTGTGCCACGACGTGGTGGCTATAACAGCCCAAACTCATGACTTTTTAGGGTTCCTCTCATATTTATGCATCTTAGTTCACGGATCAGGCCTTCTCCATCAACCTCCATCTCTTCATTTCAAACCTAGCCTTCATGCATGATTAAGAACTTGTTTTATTGATCGAAGAGTTTGTTCTTGGATTTGAGTGAAGCTTCAGGAATGAGGAAGTTCATATTGGTGCAAGGAAGCAAGGAGCTAGCTTGGATCCATCACCCTCTTATAGTTTTCGAGTTATTGAATGTATAAAGTTCATACCTTGACCTCTGATCTTCTTGTTTCAAGTTTAAATTCAATTTGGATGATTTTGTTCCCTTCCATGGATGCTCTTGGAGTTTGAGGAACGCTCGAGCGTGTTGTGGCTCTCAAATGGTCTTTAGGTTTATGAAAACGAGAAAAGAGTCATGTTTGGGTACAAGTATGCTAGTCGGATAGGATGTATTCTTGTTATGCGTGTATAATGTATGACAATTGGTGTCATGGTATGTTACACCGGTAGGGTCTTGCCTTTTGATCGTATGATACAGTTAGGGGTTATGTTTGGTTAGGGTGACTGGGGAAGGACAATTATCAGGATTATGTTTGATTGACCAACGAAGGACTTAATCAATAAGTGGTCAATTGCAGGGTAACTAGGGAATGCTAGTTGTCAAGGGTATGTAATATGTTAGTATATGTACGTGTTTATGTTGCATGATTATACGGTAATAATAACTTGGGTTCTATGTAGTTTAAGTTGGATAACCTGAGAACTCTTTGTCTGATGACTTATTACGATGTTGTTGTCTGATTGTTCGCTCTCAGGGTGGATCATCTGTTCGGCTATCTATCTGATCCATGGCTACATATGACTATAAATTTTATGGAAGACCAGGATCTGGCCCGTGACATTTGTATGGAAGACCAGAATGTAGCTCCTGGCAGAGAAGTTTGAGTTGGGCCCGTTTACTCCTTGAGCGGGGCCCGTTATGTATGTTTAGGTGATGCCTATTATGTGAGTTGGGTTGGGCCCATTAACTCTTGGGTTGGGCCCGTTATATATGATATATGTATGTGGATAGGAATTTTTGGTTGCTCGACGCTAGAGTCGAGGATTGTATGTGGATGTATTGTATGTATGGTGGAATATGTGATATATTGGGGAAGTCACTAAGCTTTATGATTACAGTTGTGGATTAAACATATTGTAGGTCGTTCGTGAGAAGAGCTCGACGGGACCGTACACACGCATCGAAAATATTCCTTTTCACGGTTTTGTAAAGTAACTCTGATAATGTATGATTTTCAATCAAACAAATGTTACTCAATGGTTTTTGAAAAATGTTTATTTGTTAATATATTTTTGAAATGAACAGAAAATCTATTTGTAATTTTCGGGACATTACATATAAATAAATTGTTTACTATTCCCTGCTTATGCTTTTTACTTACAATATGGATTGGAATGTGTTTTTAGATACTTACAATATGGATTGGAATGTGTTTTTAGATACTTACAATACGGAAACACAATTTTGTTTTTTGAGTCTAACACTTTGTATGCATAAGTGTAACACAATATGTATTATTATTGAGACCTTATTGAAAACCAATATAGGTAATGAATATACTTCAGCCTTTACCTGTAACAGCCATGTGATTTCATTTCCTAACCCATAATATCAATGAACTTTCATTTCCTTACCGATAATAGCAAGATACTTAGTTTTTACTAATAATAGCAACATACACAATTGATAGTTACGTTTCTTCTGTTGCAACTTCTTCGCCATATATTTGTTTCAATTGCATTACATAAGATTTACTTCATGATTATATACTAGTTGGATTTCTTGGTAGGATTAAGGCTAGTAATTAACAACCGTTGAGGGGAGGGATCATAGGTTATAATAAGAAGAATAAAAAAAGACCAATTCGGATTCGGATGATAAGTGCATAGTTTTTTACCCAAGTTAAATACCCAAAAATAGATGCTCTACCCTCTTATAACCACTGTTGCAACAAACTAATTAAGATAAATACCCAAAATACCCCTCTGCTCTTTATTATTGCTGATTTCCTATAGTACCCCATCCTCTTTCTAGAAAATGTGAGATTTAAGCGAATGCTTAGCAGTTGAGTTTATTATAGAGCAAAAAAGTTAACATTAACATTCCATAATTCAAAATTAACTCTATTTTAGGACTAGTGATGATACACGAAACATATATAAGAGCTGAATCTCTATGCTTACGCCCATTTTTTTTTAATAAAACTACCATACAGATACAGCCATGACAGGGGTAAAAAGGCCAAAAGCACATTTACTCAGAATCCGAATCATCATTAGACTTGGAGCCATGTCTAACGTTTCTTGTTTGAGGCTTTTTTGATGGTTTTAAGGATGATTCGCCTTCAAAAAATATAACTTCACCTTTCCCCAATCTCTCCTCCAGTTCTTCAGTGCTAAAATCATCACTCCCACCAAGCTCATCAAACCCCACCTATCATATCATCCATACATCATTCGTTTTATATAAAAGAAACACACCAGAAAGAAAGAAAGGAGTGAGACATGATAGATATATGATGTACCACATAATCTTCAACTTTGGCATTCTTTATAAGAGCAATTGTTGGAAGAACAACAATCTTGAGCTTCTCAGCCAAGAATGGGCTTTTCTCTGCTTGAATCTTGATGAATCGCGTCTCGATATGCTGTTTTGCCAATATCCCCAAGTGTTTGTCCACTACCTGTTAAAATATTCAAACAATCTTTAATCTAATTAAGCAGTTTGCTGAAAAACTGAAATCACCTTCATATGATGTATGAAGTATGAACCCTAAATTGTTAACTTTGTGTAAGATACGCTCTTTTCTAGTTTATGAATAGGACGTCTATGCAATCTTTGAATCAATGAAAGCAGTAGTTTCTCCCAATTTCTGTTCTTAATTCCATCAAATGAGAGGTGAAAAAAGGGGCATTTACCTTGCAAGGCCAATTTTCACGATAGAAATGGCAAACAACGCGATCGCTGGCCTTAACAATGGAGAAGAAATCCTTCTCGGAGAATATCTCAGAGTAATCTCCGTGGCCAAGGGAAACCCAACGGCTCCGCTTCTCCGCCATCTTCTTCATCTGTTGCAATCGGCGCTCTCTCAGGACCTCAATATCGTCTAAATCCAACTTCTCCAAAGCCGCGATTTCATCATCGATCTTCTCCTCTACAGCTTTGGCAACACTCAGCACTTGCTGCTCGATGATCTGCAACCAACATTTAACTCATATCAAAACATTGAAAACAAATTGAAATGAAACAAATCACAAACCTCTTGAACCCTATTCTCCATCGGATTTAATTTTTCTCAGAAGATCGAGATCCAGATCCAGACAGGGGTTTTCTTATTCAAAATTATTTAGAAACGAACGACATTAATCGAACAAAAAGAAAACACGGTGATCGGAATCAGATTTTCGTGGGGAGCAAAGCGTCGATCGATCCAACTATGGGCTGAGCCGCTGGACTAACTTTCTTGATAATTGGGCTGCAATATCAGCCTAAATAATATCATTTTATTTGGTATTGGCCTATTATTGTTTTAACTCTAGTTGTTGATTTTGTTGAAAGAAGAAACTACCTTATACTACATTAAATTTTATAGTGAAACTTTATCAAAACTTAAATATTTTGTTTGTATAGATACACAATTGTTGAGAAATGTGATCATCTCTTCACATTCATCAATCATAAACTTGGAGCTAATAAGTTTGATGATCTATCTTAGTGTGCTTGTTGCAAGTGTTAAAAACAAATTTAAACAATGTAGCAGATATTGTCTTTTCCATGAAGTTGAAGGGTTGTTATGTAGACAAAAGTTGATGAAAGGCTAAAGAATCATGCAAGCATTTTTCAAGGACTAAAGTGGAAGTACTTAAGAGAAGTTGTATTATGGAGATTATAGTTGGTTGCGATGTATTCAACAAGCTTGGAAGGTACAGGTGCCATATGTGAAAGATAAAGGTTATCGGTGTAATTACTGGAATTCAAGGAAAGATAAAGGTTATGTAATATTTCCAGCTATATATATATATAGTTAGTAGTAGATAGGTTTTGGAGATTCTTTTACTTTGTCTTCTCTATAACACAAATCCAATTTGTCTTAGTAGTATTTACATCTTGTTTTGTAGATGTAGTTTGTTTGACATGTTTTTGTTATGATTTTATGTACAAATATCATTCTTAATATGTGATATAAAGAGAGTTACGTCAGTGTTTTTCTATGTAGGTTTTGCTGTGGGGTTCCTTATTTGTAAGTAATCTGAACTGGTTCTTCAATAATTAAGAGATATGTTCTTCATTTTATCTTCTTTTTATGAACAATAAAATCAGAAATTTGGGCAAACAACCGGCTTCAAACTGGTTAAAATTGAACCAAAATTTCATGGACCGGTCTGTAGCTTAACTGATTATGACTGATCGGAGAATTTCTGAGCAAAATGGTTTAAAATATCAGTTAAGGTCGATTGTAAACAAACAATTTAAGGCATGGTCCTCTTCGTTCTGTTAACTAGCCGTTTTTTTGTGTTGCTGATTTTATTTTATTATTATTATTATTATTATTATTATTATTATTATTATTATTATTGCCTCTCTATTTATTTTGATTCCAAAACACCTAAAAAAAATTAAAATACAATCTTTGATTTTAATATTCATGGCAAATATTGTGGTCTCACCTTGCTTTTTTTGTGATCAAGATCATCTGGTTCCAACTAGAGGTGGACAAAGCCCAGTTTAGATTAAAAAATGGTTCTTGAGAAAAACGGATTCGGTTATAATGGAATCGGTTTTTTCGGTTTTTTTTTTTTTGAAATAAAATTTTAGTTAAAGAAAAATCTGTTTTCTGTTTAAAAACCGGGAAGAAACAGTTTTTCAATATATTTATATAAATAAAAATTAAAAAAAAAAAGAAAAAAACTGATTCTAAACCGCTTGTTTGGTTTTAGAAAAATTGTTCACTTTGTGCACTTCTAGTTTAATCATAATGTAATTAAAGTTCGTAACATTAAGAGGGTGTTTGGATTACTTTTTTAACCTCAAAACTCCTTTTTGTAAAATAACTTTTTGCATAAAAAAAAAAAAAAAAAAAAATGTTTGGATTAGCTTTTGAGGGGCAAAAGCCAAAAGTTGTTTTTAAAAAATGTTTGACTTAATTTTTACATGTAAAAATGACATTCTTAAAAAATGTTTGGGTAGTTGTAATGAGTATAAATGTAATTTACTTGGTAAGATGTTAAAAAGTCACAAAAAAATAAGATTTCATAACTGAAAGGTTACTTTTTGTTAATGGTAAAAAGTTGTTTTAAAATAACTTTTCTATTTGCCAAATATCTTTTCGATTTTTTTTGATTTTTTGAAAAAGTTAAAAGTCCAAAAACCGTTTTAAAAGGAATAGCAAACACCTCATAAATCGGAAACTACAATAATTATATTCATGTGCGACCCCGATTAGAAGCCATTGAAATCATGCAGTTCCAACATATTTGTACCGATAACATTATATTGGTGGAGAATGTGTCAGGACTTGTGATGTGATTATAATTCTTTTGTTTAACTCATAGCATGTGTGGTTTTGATAGAGGTTGTTTGCTCGAACAAAAGTAACTTTACAATACTACTAAAATACTTGTGGCAAGTAAGGGTTGAACTAAATTCTCAAAAGAGTAATTACTATGAAGTATGCCCATAGTGGAAGTATACCTCATCTTAGAACCAAAACAACATTTTGATGAAGCTATGAAACAAAATAGATCTGTGCTGATAAGATCAGTTGCACGTTGTTGGATGATTGGGTAGTCAATACTATCAAGGTGATCAAAATAGATATTGATTTCAAAATATGAGCGATAACAAAAGTACTTTTGTCCATCAAACAACAATGAAGACCATAGTGGTTTTGTAGCTTACCTTTTTGACCTACAGTCCATAACAACTCCTATAGACGTCATAGGCTTCCATTGATTGAAAACATCATACACATATAAGTGTCATAAACGTTCCACTTTGTTATGGTTGGAGAGTGGTTAATTTAATTCATTCCGAATTTGAGTATCCGTTTTTTATGTGAATAAGATTTAAAGATAAGTCATTCTAACATTCTATTCAATCATCTGAAATTTTGAACATAATGTTCACTGAATCAAGTACATGCAGATATCAATAACAAGATCCAACACTGATTTTTAACACAAATCTAAGCTCTCTCGCCTCTAATCCTCCTAGCCAATTGCATATCCTTAGGCATAATTGTAACCCTCTTAGCATGAATCGCACACAAATTAGTATCTTCAAACAAACCCACCAAGTAAGCCTCTGACGCCTCTTGAAGTGCAGCAACAGCACTGCTCTGGAACCTCAAATCCGTCTTGAAATCTTGAGCGATTTCTCTCACAAGCCTCTGAAATGGAAGCTTGCGGATCAAAAGCTCGGTACTTTTTTGGTACTTACGGATCTCTCTTAGTGCAACAGTTCCTGGCCTGAATCTGTGTGGCTTCTTTACTCCTCCGGTCGCCGGAGCTGATTTCCTCGCCGCCTTTGTCGCCAACTGCTTCCTTGGTGCTTTTCCACCGGTTGACTTGCGAGCAGTTTGCTTGGTTCTCGCCATTTTTTTTGCTTTTGTGTTTGGTAAGTAGAATCGATCGAGTGTTGTGAGAAATGGTGGAGAAGATGTTTGTATTTATTAGGGTTTACAGTGACGGAGGTTTGGGAGATTTGAAACTTCGGGGGAGAATAGCGCGAACAATCGTAGACCGTTAGGTTGTTGAAGTAAGAAATAGACGGCTCAGATTATATGTTGATCGAAATTGCGGATCGCGATCCTTGTGCCTTTGATTTCCTCGATTCGTTTGTTTCACGTGTGGAACCAAATTTTCCCACCAAGAATGGTGATTTTTTTTATATAATTTGTTATTATTAAAGGTTAATTGTTATTTACACCATCGTAATTTATATTTTTATTATTAATTCATCAATGATAAATTTTTACATAAAATATTATGTGATAACTAGTGGAAACCCACAAACTATAATATATAGAATATAAAAATAATAATCATTATATTAGATTTGCATAGATCTATTTATATAACGAATTTGACAATGGTAAACACACAAATGTGATAATGACTTAGGAGGGTAATAACGTTTCATGTTTATCCATTTTAGGTCCCTAACGTATTTTTTGTGCATATTACACCATTAAGGTTATTATAAGCGTTTACAAATAGTCTTTTTAACAGGAAAAAACCGGTAAAATTGATTATTTATAAACGGTTATAACAACCTTAATGGTGTAATACGCACAAAAAATACGTTAGGGACCTAATATGGACAAACAGGAAACGTTATTACCCTCGTAGGTCATTATCCCCGTATGAAACTATAAACCCCTATAGTAAATTTTTCCTTTTTAAATAAGAAACTTGTAGGTCTTAGGGTTGGTAGTTTGGATGCTTTTAACCTAGGCCTTCTTTATAAATGGAAGTGGCGGTTTCTTAATGACAAGGGAGCTCTTTGGGTTTAAATTGTCAAATTTTGTCATGGGAAAGGTGGTGGTTTTTCGGACGATTCTAGAATAGGAACTGGAGGGGTGTTTGGCAAAAGATTGTACGATCCATTAATCATCTCCATGAGAATGGTTGTATTCTTTCTAATTCCATGTATAGAGTGGTGGGGATTAGGTTAATGATATGACGCTTCCTATGGGTAGTATGCCTACTAGGTGGAACCGTTTTGTCCCTTCCTGTGTTTTCATCTATCCGTGATGTGGTGGATTGGGTGGATTCTAGACCGACGGTTCATATGGAACGCCCGATTGTTGAGTCGGTGTTCATGGTGTTCATGATGATGTGGTTACAAAATCCAATCCAATCCAATCAAAACCTTTCTACTTTTTATTCTTTTTTATTTCAACAACTTTAAATGAAATACACATAAAAATAAATACTAAAAATCTTAAAAATATATATTCAAAATAATAAATACTAAAAATCCTAGGAGGGTAATAACGTTTCCTATTTGTCCATTTTAGGTCCCTACGTACTTTTTGTGCGTATTACACCATTAAGGTTATTCTAACCGTTTACAAATAGTCTTTTTAACAGAAATAACCCAATAAAAGAGATTATTTCTAAACGGTTATAACAACTTTAATGGTGTAATACACACAAAAAATACGCTAGGGACTTAATATGAACAAACGGAAAACGTTATTACTCTCCTAAGTCATTATCCCCACACAAATTTGACAAGAGGGTGGATGGACCAAGATTATCGTTTTTTATTGATACACAGTAAGCACACAAATTTGGTTCCTTCTTTTACTTAGTTATCTTTATTTGTTTTTACTATCCATTGCTCCAACAATTTAATTTTTATTTCTAGATGTTATGTATGATTACAAATGCTTTAATCGACTTTAAAATTTGATACTTATAGTACTTTGTTCGTTTATGATTACAAATATTTTTTTATATATGATTAGAAAATTGTGTTGCACATTTACGACTACTATTGAATTTTAATTTTTTTCTATATACGGTTACAATTATGCATTATACACTCATGCTTGTGATTATATCTGATTTATTTATCTCTACATTTTTTATTCATTTTCGATTATATTTGTATTTTGACTTTTTATATATGATTGAAATTGTTCTTTATTTATTTATGATTATATGTGTTTTTAGATTCTTTTTATATATATATCATAAGTATGTTTTATTCATCCAGGATTGCAAATGTATTGGATTTATTTATCTTTTTATCGTATTGTATTTATTTTATGATTAAAACTAGTTTATCTACATTTCAAATATCAAAAATCAAAGCTGGTTTTTCATTTATCTAAAAATTGTGATAGGTATTCAAGCCAAGTGAATCCGAAATATTTATGACCCTTACAAAGCGTTGCTTGTGAATTTCTGTTGTCAAAAAACAACACAAGTTAATATCAAAGCATTATATTTCATGTGAAAAGATTCATCACAAGAAAAAAGAAACCTATGTAGCAGCGATAAAAGAAACAAATATGCATTTATGAGTATAGTTAAATTTAGTTTTATTCATTTAAGAATAAAACTTTATGAATATTAGATGTATGAATTTTTAAATAAAAGCAATGTGACTTTACTTGTTTATGAATGCTACTAGATGAATATATTTCTATTGATCGTTGTTAGATTAATATGTTATGTCTTAGATCAAAAAAAAATCGTATGTTTTCTAATCATTCATGATTAAAATGGTATCATATAAATTTTTAAAATTCTGGAAAAAACAGTTTTTTTTTTATGAACACCTTTATTCACAAATGAATATCTATACATGGTGACTGATAAAAACAATTCCAAAAATTTTCAAAACAAAATCGGAAAAAACATTTTTTTATCCCTTAATAATATTAAAAATAACATTAAATTCTTGTTTTAAGACAAATGTCATAATCCCTAAATTATAGGAAAATATGATTATATTTTACTTTTTAATAATTTAATTACATTGCAAAATTCCGTGAACGCCGCTTATATATCAATTGGTATATAACTGTTATGGCATTCTCAACTTTTTTGTTATTCTCATTTCATTATATATATATATATATATATATATATATATATATATATATATATATATATATATATTTGTTTAGTACGAAAATATACAAAATTCTCCATATTTTTAATGATCGATAAGAATTTAAAAGAAAAAAAAGTTCTAATTAAAAAAAATACTACATTTTATAAAAGATGATCCATCTTTAAAAATAATTTGAGTAATTTACACAAATGGTCCATATGGTTTAGGGTAATTTGCACGTTTGGTCCCTAACTTATTTTTTTAACTCGGAAGGTCCCTACTGTTTGTTTTTGTTACGTGATTGGTCACTGTCTTACATAAAAAGACTATTTTGCCCTTGATTTTTTAATTTTTTTTAAATAAACACACTCCCAACCTCACTCTCCTCACCTTACCTTACCTACCCAATCATTTTTCCCTATTTAAATAATAGTATTTTAAGTAAGACAGGGACCAGACACGTAACAAAAGTAAACAGTAGAGACCAAACAAATAACAAAAAACAAATAGTAGGGACATTTCGAGTTAAAAAAATAAGTTAGAGACTAAACGTGCAAATTACCCCAAACCATAGGGACCATTCGTATAATTACTCAAATAATTTAGTTAGAAGCTCTAAAATAGTATAAAACTATCCAAACCCCCACTTTCCCACTTTCTTTCTTCTTGGTAAGGCTACCCGGAGTGGAGGGGAAAAAGACGCGTGTGAGCTGACGTGTCAGCCCCCTTCATGCGTGAACACCGCCCCACCTTCCGGTGGGTTGCTTGTGACGTGGAGCTGGAGACAGAACAAGACGCGAGAAGTGATTGGTCCGTTCACATTTCCTCTCTTTATCTCTCTCTTCTTTTTGCATTTTCAGCGCCTAACCACCGTTGAACACCGTCCCCAACCCCGGTGGTTTGGATGTGGAACTCCATCAATATCTACGTTGCATCACCTTTATTCTCAAACCACGCGTGACCATTGCAGATAGCCTAAGGGGTGGCGAGCGCCTCTCTCTCTCGTCTGTTAACCCTACCAATAAAACTCTCTCTATTTCTCTCATTATTCTGCCATTTGTCTTCATTCAGATTTATTTCTGAAACAAACCTTAACAAAATCTAAAATAAGTTTCAAACAAACCTTGAAACAAATGTAATGCAATCATACTGTTACCAAATAAACTTTCTTCTTACTGGTCCATATCCCAACCGTATTTGATGATTATTATAATTTCAAACAAGCCTTGATGATAAGAAATGTAGCATCAATTTATTTTGAAATACATCATCCATCATTCCATTGATACTTACTATAATTTCTTGTTAGAAAAACACAATACTTACTATAACTTCTTGTTAGAAAAACACAGACAATAAAAAAACATAAAAACTCATCTCTCGTTATGATCAAGCAGATAGAAGAAGCATCCAAAACATAATAAAATCATTCAAAGAAACTCAAATAAGAAAGGCATGATTTCTATTAAAACATAAAACATCAGTGACATACAATACAGATCACCAAGAAGCCTAAATCGTTAACCCTAACAACAAACTGTTGTCAAACATAAACCGTTTTCACAGATCTAAGCTCTCTCGCCTCTAATCCTCCTAGCCAATTGCATATCCTTAGGCATAATTGTAACCCTCTTAGCATGAATCGCACACAAATTAGTATCTTCAAACAAACCCACCAAGTAAGCCTCCGACGCCTCTTGAAGTGCAGCAACAGCACTGCTCTGGAACCTCAAATCTGTCTTGAAATCTTGAGCGATTTCTCTCACAAGTCTCTGAAATGGAAGTTTGCGGATCAACAACTCTGTGCTCTTCTGGTACTTACGGATCTCTCTTAGTGCAACGGTTCCTGGCCTGAATCTGTGTGGCTTCTTCACACCTCCGGTCGCCGGAGCTGATTTTCGAGCAGCTTTAGTAGCTAGCTGCTTTCTGGGAGCCTTTCCACCGGTGGATTTGCGGGCAGTTTGTTTTGTTCGTGCCATGTTTAGTGAAGTTTGAGAGGCTGATGTTTTGCTTCTTTGAATGTGAGAATTGACTGCTGAATTGAATAGAATCGATAGCTATGAGATTGATATTTATAAGGGTTGTGCGAAATTTGAAGTTAATTTTGGGGGAAGAGCGCCAGATTACATGGACCGTTAGATTCAATAGACGGCCACGATTACGTCTTGCGGGAAAACACGGATCGCAATCCGTGTGCTTTTAAGTTCTATTTTCTGAGGAAATAATTTTCGTTTACATGTGAAAAAGGACAAAAAATCAAATATTTAACTTTAAAAATAAAAGAGTAAATTAGAGAGGTGGGTGTGGGCAACGCAACGCCCACACGAGTTACTAGGCTAAAAAACAAAAAAACGCCGTTACCAAATGTGATCGTGGTAACGGGAAGTAACGCGAAAGCCTTTAACATGTAATAACGGGAGGGAGGGACGGTGTTCATTGGCGTTATCACGTGTTATGAGGCACAATAACGGGAGTGGGCGTTCTCCGAGTAGTCTTAAAGAAATAGTCTTTCTTTAAAAACACGTTATACTATAAATATCATTAATTGATATAAATAGAGAAAACTGCAAATTTAGCTAAATACATTAATTATTTTGTGAAAAATAACCAAAAAAATCCAAATTACAAAATTAGCCTTAAAATCGCAGATGGATTAAGTCCATCTGCGATTTCGCATTTCCATCTGCGAACGTACAAGTGCCTAAAGCACATCTGTGCTTTAGGCACTTGTACGTTCGCAGATGGAACAGTCTATCTGTGATTTTGTACATTCCATCTGTGATTTCGTAGCTATTTTGTATAAAAATGTTTTTTTTCTTCATTTTTCACTATCTTTTTTAGAGAAACTCTCTATTTCCACCTCTCACAGTTACAACGCAAACCAAATATTCATTCATTTTTTACAGATGTTTTAAACAAAATTTTCAAAGAAATAACAACAAAAATTATAATTTTTTGAAAAAATTTATATATAATAAGGTTATTTCGTAGTAAAACCTTATCAATTTCGTAGTCAAAATAATTTAAAAAAAAAACACACACACAAAATCGCAGGTGAATAAAGAGGAAATCGCAGATGGATATAGTCCATCTGCGATTTTAGGCTGGAAAAGGGGGTATATATACAACGAAAAAAAAAACCACATGCGAACGTACAAGTGGGTAAAGCACGTATGTGCTTTAGCCACTTGTACGTTCGCAGATGGCATGGCGAAATCACAGATGGATTATACCCATCTGCGATTTTAGTGGCTAAAAATACAAATTTGGTTTTTTTTGACTATTTTCCACAAAGTAATTAGTGTATTTGGCTAAATTTGCAATTTTCCATCATGTTGACCAACAACTATTTCGACATCAATGACATTAAACTAAAAAGTTTTACATATCAACCGATTGTCGTTGCACAATCCATTTCATGGGTAAAGATGCCATAATAGTATTATCGACATCGAACTTTTAGACGTAGGTAATGAGGGGTAAACCACTAACAATGAACGTGTTCAAGAATTACACATGATAGAAGTTATTTATATCGTCTATGACTTCATCAAAACTATAATAAATTATCTATTCTTCATGAAATCGGTCGATCAAAATAATCATTAATATCATCGACATTCTCATTTTTTGTGGATAATATTGCCCATGAAATAATATAATCTAATTCAGATCCGTTAATTTCCAAGGATAGAAAGATTTTATTTTGTTTTCTGCACTAATCCAAAATTATAACATATCACTATTGTTTAGATCATTTTTTTGTATGTAAAATAACATGGTTTTGTAATTAACAAAAGCTTCGATCATTCAAATTATTGAAAATGTTAAATTATAATAACCAAATAAAACATTATCATCTCATAAGAGGCTTTTATCATACTTGTAGAAAACTGAATTATTATTACTTTTTCATACATGTTGGAAATGTAATGTTATTTATTTTCGTTATTATTTTAAGTAATAGAAAATCAAATTATAAAACTCTTTAATACATATTGGAAATGTGATTTTATTTACCAAAGTTTTCGAACATGCCAGACATATTAAAATTGAATATTTCAGTTATATCTTCTTAGAATTATATCTGAACAAAATTACAACTACAAAGATTAATACACATAATTTCTATAGACATAAAAAACAACAAATTACAAAATAAATTTTAAACAGTAAAGAAGACTCAATATATAGACACACACAACAACAAACATAAATTATATAACCAAAAGCTTTTTTACAATGGCTTATTACATAAAAAAAACTATTTTTCCTTTAACTATTTTCCCTAAGCTAATACTATTTATAAAGAAATAGCAACATACTTTTATTCTTCCATTTTCTATCAACATAGCAACATTTTTTTTAATATGAACTGCCATGGGAAAATCCAAAAAGTATGCATATTTGTATCCATGATTGATAAAATCTAAAATCAACAATATAAATATTAAATATTAGATAAGATAATCAAATTAGAACATAACTTAAAATCCTATAGAAATGCCAAGAACATAACTTACATTTGTATCTTTATTCACGGATCCTATTCTTGCATTCAAACCAAATTTATATAATGAGGTTATTAGACATCACAATAGCAATTTTTTTTTCTTTATAAAAAATGAGAAGATTATTTATTGTCTTTGGTTTGCACCTTCACAAAACCATCTGAAATTGCCCTGATTCATTCAACCTTTTTCAGGCTAAAAGCAAAGATACATGCACTTCTGCTAACAAAAGTATGACTTTCTTTTAGTTAGTACTAAACTTTAATCCAAACAATCCATCAGAGCAATTTTCACCCTTTTTGGATAACCTATAAGAGTTTGATATCACATCACCTACTTCTTCACCTTTTATATGACATTTGCTTAGTGAAAAACGATAATAATAGAGAGTAAGTTGGATGAAAATACCCCTCCTTTGTTTCTTCTTGTTCTCTATTTCTCATGTTCTTTGTTCCTGCAGATTGAATCAAACAAACCTGATTACCAAATATGAATGAATTCATGTTGGAATTCTGACCTTGACATCTCTAACCAACTGGTGAAAATAAGTGTCAGACACTATAAAGTGCCAACTCATGCCTAATGAAAATCAGTTATAACAAACGTAAATACCAAACAAATGGCACATGTCATGTTAATCCAAATATTAATACACACATTCACATAACACACACACAACATATATCACATACACACATACATACCACACACATCAAACTTTATAAATTCAAAACAAAATAATAATCCAGAGCCAATCAAATCAAAATCACATTAGTTTAATATATTTGAAACCTAAAACTTAAAATTCAAATGTAAACTAAATATGAAATGACATCTAAGGGCACCTGTGTTGAAAATCGAATCCAATCAAGCACAACACGATATGACATGCTACATTCAAAAAGCAACATAACCCAAATTAAAGGGTAATAGTCAGCAACGTTGTGACATGTTCCAGTCTAAGGCCCAACACTTGATCTATGCAAAAATTTATTGTCATGGATAGTCTTTATGTAACCTGCATCCAATGTTCAAACATAATCATAACTGAAACATATAACACACACAATAGTCACATAGTAGACACACATGATTAGGGTAATCTCATTGGACTGTAACTCATAAGCAACCCCTTCCACATCACCATCTTCAGTCCCATCAACAACCCCAATTCTTCCACCATTACCTTTTTTATTGGTTCGAGACAAAAGACCCAAATATGAAAATTATTAAAAATTTCATCAATTTCAAACTATTATTATCATCTTCAAAAGTAACAGAATACCATTTTAATATGGCCGATAAAGATAAAAATTTACCTGAAAATATAATTATTGTTCATTATGTTCAATGGAGAAGCAATTAGGTGTTGTGTTAACCTTCAAATCAACACAACAAATCAAGTAATCAACAAATAAATCCTGCAAACAGATTAAATAATACATCGAACATCAAAACAGTTATTATTAAAAATTGATTGAAAACTTACATAAAAGAAGAATAAAGCAATGGTGCCTTTCTTCTTTAAAATCGAGATACTTTTTTAAGAATTTCGACTAAATCAATTGAAAGAGAGGAAGAGGGATTTCATTTCCTAGATGAAATAACATATCAACATGAAAAATATCTTGTTAGTTTGAACCCGATTTCAACAATAGTCGATTAACCTGAAGACCAAAAATTCAAAGCAGTCAAGATTTACCAGGCAGAGAGGGAATAATAGCAGCGATCATCTGTTTCTTAGAATACTGAGAAGGAATTAGGAGAATAGTAGCATTTCTAACCTGATACCAACTGGGAGAAAGAGATTACAGGGTGGAATTTCTTTCAACCACATTTTTTTAACCTGAGGGTGACTGAGCGTCCGAGGTAAGAGAAGGAGAGAGCGGAGTAGGAATCGTCGATTGGCGTAATCGATATAACATCGATTCACGATTCTGGATGAATTTTTTCACAAAATCATCTACTTAGACTAATCGGAAGAATTTGATTATAGAAGACGATGGTGACCGATTCAGGGATGTTCGTTGATGATTTGGAAGTTGATGGTCAAAAAGAACGTAGGAATAGATGATGACAACAAATTGGCGATAGTTCGTTTGGGGATGGATGGTTTGTGGTATTGACGCCATATATAAGGGAAGGAATCGACATATATCAGTCGATATATCAGGATTCAATATTGACTTAGATTAGGGATCAAAGGGTCGGGTGTTTTCAAAAATTTGAATGTCTGTGTGACAGAGGGTTGATTTGTAACAACTGCCTCCTTAATTTAAGTTAACTATTTTGATTTTTTCACTTGTGGACCGGAAAATGTTCATGGTTTTGTTAACGCATAAATTCATTGTACAATTTATATAAGGGATTGTACCTCTTAAAATTCAACATTTGAGGCTAAATGGTTATTAAGGTATAAAGATATATAAGAATAAGACAATCGGATCTCTAGTATGCCTCATTCACGA